GAAACCCGGGGACTGCGCCTACCTGATGAGCCCCAAGAAGGGCGAAGCCGGTCGTGAGCTGTCGAAGAGTTTCTAGCAACCTTATGAGTAGTGTTTTACGTCTATACGTACCGCGATATCTCGAATGTCTCTCCAACTGACACATGAGGCGGTCTTGTGCAGCACATTCCACTGCTTAAGAACATCATAAACGAGAGATTCAGCTGGGTTCCGGGCGAGTCTCCCGTCAAAACCAAATTGGTATGCAAATGAGCGTGTTTTGTTAAGTATTAGATAAACCTTGTGGTTGTGCGGCAGTGAAGCATCAACGTCACTGACGCTAATGTCTCTGGTGATGATGAGAGGTTCATTCACAAAAGACTAGGGGGGAGCCGAGATTTACGGTGAATGCTTACCTAACTTATTGTCTATCTCTGGGCAAAAAACATCATCCAAACCATTTCGCGCAAATCAGCAGCGATCACTTACAAAAGTGATGTAAGAAGTGTAATGACCACAAAGGCATTAGGCCGGCTCTCGGTGTAAGACCAATTTTATCACTTACCCTACACCCTATAAGAGCACGTGACCCGAAAAGAACAGGCAGGATTCCGGCCGCAAATGGGTCGTGTACCACATCTTCAGCCCGCACAATTTTTAAGCAAAGGTAGGTGAGTAGGCTCTCTACAACTTTGGTGTTCCTTGACCTCATGGATGCATCCGATTCTGTCAACTTACCTACTATTTTCAACAGGCTTTTACAACAGACTGTTCCCTAGAAGCTTGTGAATACCATGTGCTTTATATACTTGTAGGCTTAAGCGTACGAAGAGCTATTTAGAAGCTTCTCCACACTGAATGGTGTCCGGGAAGGATGCTCATTCTCGACAATCTGGATAACGATTAGCTAACGAGGCGGGTTATTGAGTCTCTGAAACCCTGAGAACTTGGTCGTCAAATGAGCAAACGCCAATGTATTCATTTCTTAAGAGAACGAAGTGTAAAGATTATTATAAAAACCGATTAGGGTTACCTAACGCTTAAGTACGTGCTTTGCACCCACAAAGTAGGAAGCACACTCTTCGAGACTATCCCTGAGTACTCCACATGGAGGCTGTGGAAAATTATACGTATCTCGAAAGATGTATTAGCTCTGAAGATGAAGTAAACGCGGGAATCACAGGGGTATTGGTTGTCGGTTTGGTGTTAAACAGGTATATGGTTGTGTCCCAGAGAACGCGCGTATCAGGTTACGGTTTGGAATGTACCGTTGTGTGGCTGCGAGACTTGGACATCATGGAGGGAGAACCTAAGATAACTTAAAATCTTTCAGAACTCAAACTGAAATCGGTTTGGACAAAAACCTCAGAATGTGATCAAAAAACGGGTGTTCAGTGGGGTAGAAGGTAACTCACCCAATGGTTGCACACAGCAGTGTAGGCTGAGATATGCTACGCATGTCAAGTCACAAGCATAGCACTGACTGCCGAGCCCTAGTCAGAGTAGCCGAAGTCTAGGGGTATGCGAGGTGACTTGGTAGAGAGGATTGAAGGATGCTGCGAAAAGTCCTGATGCTGTTTACCCTACAGGATGGGGTCCACCTGACTATCCTTGTGCTTCCCACCGCATGGCTCCGTTGGCTTAAATTTGGTCGCATAGAATTTATTACGTTAGAGGCACCCCAAGAACAAACAGTCACTAAAACAGAAGAAATAACACTTCTGGATTCCGAAAGGGGTGACTTACCTCAGGAGAAAAACCCAGCTTTATTACTACGTTAAAGAACATCAGAAGCACTGTCCATTCGGCGGGATCTTACTAGGTGACAACTTAGCAGATAAGTGTACATCACCGTCGTTGGAAAGTCATTCAAATAGCACAGAATAAATGCACATTTACGGAGTCCCAGTAATCATCAATGTCAGTTTGCATTCGCAATTTTGATATTGAAATAAACCTACGTGAGTGATGACTTTGTGGTTTTTGCCTACGTTCGAATACGACGAAAATATTTGTTTTCCGCCGACCTAGACTGCAGTTTAGGCGACAGCTACACAAGTCCAACATGGTGCATTATTGTACCTCTATTATGGATTAGCAGGAACGCCGAATTCCAGGTAGTTCTGGTCCAAACGAAGTCAATTGTCCTACTTCAAACATTATTATCATCGTCAATGACAACAACAAAAGAGAACAGCAATGAGACCATGTCAATTTATCTCCGTTAGTCTACCACAGACATCCAAGGTGTCTAAACCAACAGTCAGACAATCTGGTCAAAAGCGACAGCATGGACGCCACTGAAATGAATCAGCCACCATACTTCAGGGTTCTTCAGCTACGCATAGATAGGGTCATGCGAGCCCCTGGAAGATGAATAATGCCCAGACTTTCAGAAGCATCCTTCACTTCCCTCTGCCATCTTACTCTGACCACTTCTGGGTTTCCTTCACTCTAAACTGGGCACGGAAAACAACGCTCGTCTGGGCATGTGTAGTTAGATTACTCCCTGAGTGGAATATCCACTTCTACAAAAGCCCGTTTCCTAATTACCTCATTGTGAACTCGCTGATATTTATTGTTCTGAGACACCAGTGGTCAAAGACCTGAAGATGTTCCGGATCCTCCAACTAAAGCGGCCTTCTCACAGCCACACTTCCAGCGTCACTCCTGGAATTCTTAGAAGCATTTTCAGAGACTGCACGTCCTGCGATACACGCCGAATAACTTTTTAGTGTGAGACTTCCCGTTTTCAAAAAGAGCGCAGAAACGTTGTGAAAAACATCGTGGCATCAGCCTGCTACCCATTTCATCTATGGTGCTCTCTGGGGTTATCTTGCGTAGGTAGATTGACTATCGAAAGAGGCAGATTCGTGTAAATCAAGCTGGGTTTCGCCATGGCCGAGGATGTATTGACCGTCCAACCAAATTACTGAACAGCCTCACTGCTTCAAACCTCCCACGCTGGTTGGCTTTTTATCTGTAATCTGCTAATTCTCTCGGTCGTCAAAAGCTTTGGCTGTATCTGACGATCAAAGGTCCCTTCCAAATTTATATCCCTTACTAGGTCATCGTATTCGAGCTCCTACGGCCGCGTACGAGTATCCGGCAACCTTTCGTCTGAGTTCGCCAAGTTCAGTGGTGTACGACAAGGCTGCCTTCTCACAGCTTTGTTACTGATGTCCCGTTGGAAACTTCTCTGTGCCTCCAAAACCTCGGAAATCGAAATGCTTCAGGGATGCTTCTTCACAGACATTGAGTATGCGGTCAATGTTGCACTCCTTGGTCCAGATCTTTCGAAAATGAAAACCATTTTAAATAGCCTAAATAACTCTACCGCACGGTTTGGTACGCACCTCAAAACCTGCAAAGTACTGCTACAAGACTGGATGGGATCAAAGCCAACCCCCGTGTTCGCAATCGGGCCAATCGACGTGGTATATAAATTTATCTACCTGGGCAGCTGTATAAGTTCCGGTGGAATAGCTGGAGATGAGATTATTTCTAAAATCGGGAAAGTCAGGACAGCTTTGGCAAATTCCGACACTATGGCACTGAGGTGACATTAGTTTGTATGCCAAGGGAAGAGCTTACACTGCGGCAGTGAGAATTGGTCGGGTCTGGTGAGAACACCAGATTAGTAATGCTAAGGTACGTTAGATGGCCCTAGGAAGAAACTCTCCCGCGATTGATGAATTACTCACGATTCATAAGTTACGCATGTCAGAAGACCGTCTACCTCGCAGAGCTCTTTTCACCGAGCCCTGTTCTGTGTGGAAGAGACCGAGGTGGACAGCGTATGGAAACGAATAATGAAAACACTAACAGGTAAACTGAGTCAGGTCGACAACTGCCACCTCCCTGGATGGGGGCCCCTGGAGTCAGCTCACCAATGGTTGATGACATTGGCAAAATGGCCCAATCGCACAGTGAGCGGCATTTATGCATCAAATCTATTGCCTTCAATGAGAAGCTAAGTAGCTCCCCAACTAGCAAAACATGCCATCGCCTCCAAGACTTGGCTGTATGTCACACACTCACTTTCCAGTGATTGAAACTGTAAAAGTTGGAACCGATGTGCCTGACACACGGTTTATAGCTGATAGATCATCATCATCATCGACAGCATGACATCAGTGTTCAACACCGATGCTTCACTGCCGTACAACCATGACTAACTTGATAGCCTTATTGTAAAGAAAAGAATAAAGGAGGACGGGGAAGGGACTTAGTGCTAGCTTAACACAATCATTCCGAGGTCCCTACACCTCCAGACATTCACTCAGGCAATCTGGATAGAAACTGACAACAAGGACGCCACTGACATCGGTTGGTAGCCATATCTTGTAGTGTCTCCAACCAGGCACAGTGAGGATCACGCGGTCCCCATCCTGGAAGGCGAGTAGCACCGACAGATAGCTGATAGATTGATTGAAATGACTAGTAGTTTGTCCCTCCAGTTATTTTTTAAAAGTGAGAACAATTTTTTTCACATATTCCAGGCCGATAAGGTTCCCACCAGGAGACCTGGACACTGAGGTGCATTGCTCGCCTCACACAAGCCACTTTGAATCCTAGGGTACAACCGAAATTCTAGCGCCAACATGCAGAAAGCGTGCGATACAGTTCTTATTAGCTACCCTTACTACAAATGTATCCTTAGATGTGTGCCTTTCACGAGGGTGTACCAAGCCATATCACCTTCCGAGGAGAACTCGATATTACGAATAATATGGATTATAGTCTCCTGATCAAGGCTAGCCGTTGGACCGTACCAGTGGCTCAATTGTTCCAGTCAGTGAACACGCAATCTAGCCGTATCCAGTTGTCACGCTGACCATGAATGACATGACAACTATCGAGCAGATTAATTGGGGAGGCTCAGCCGAAAACCTGGGTCGGCCGTGAAGTCCAACAAAAAGACATGTAGCTACCCGCCCCTGGAGCTACTAATGGTAACAAAGGTAAATGGAACAAGGAACATGTATATTTACACAAATAGCAACGACAAAGACAGTCTTAGCGTTTTCCAAGGATATTCAAAAACTTTCCGCGTGTCATTTCCTTCGCTAAAGAAGACAGTAAGGATGTTTGAAGTCTCTTACCTTCTTCTAAACCAACTTGGTAGGCCAGATTCTGCAGATGCTTTATTTTGTCCATGAGCTGTTGTGTGGACAGACTTCCAAAGTCTGGAGGAATAAAGAGGATGAGCAACAAGATTACCATGTATCAGTTCCAGGTCCTCTTTATCCAGGTCAGTTGCATACTTTGGCGGGGTTTGCAAGCTGATTTCATTTTGCTTCGAGGATAAAAATTCTGATACTCCTGGAACTTGAACAAATCACTGTTAGTTTTGTGGCTACCACCAACTTGCTTTGCTCTGGCCATAAATCTGGAGAAGCTCGATCTAGATTTTCTTCACTCAATAACGACGGCTCCTGCTTGTCCTCCATTTTCCAACACTTTGTGTCCCACAGCGGATTCTCGGATTATTTCTCAAGAGAGAATTATCTGCAAGATAGTGATCAAGACCATACCGGTAAACCGAAAGGATCACCGCCAAAGAACCAAACACTAAAAGACAGCGTTTCGGACAGAGAGAATAGATGGGCGTAAGTTACCCGCAAACAGCGTGCTGAGCGATGCCAGAGGTGTGATGTAGTGAGTAGGTTCGAGGCTAAAAACACGAGTCGTATCGTGATCAGCCCGAGTGGTGGAAAATTCAATGAGGACGGTAGATACCTGGGTGTTAGTATAGTTCGTGTGGAGAGCTCAGTGATTTTTAACAGCTTGGTGGCTGCAATCACTAGCGACCGAGTTGGACAATTGCCCTACTTGGTTGTAAATTATCAGTCTGACGGAGGCTAGAAGGTTAGGATTAGCTGGCGTCAGCGTTCTTGAGGATGTGTTACTGGCGGTCGCTACAGGATGCATTTCCTATATTGGTATCAGCTGAGGCGTTTTGCCAGAACTGAAAAAGGTCGACTTGGGTGTTAAGGCTAGAGCTGTACAGGAATAGGGGAATGAGATCAGTTGAACAGCAACGTCTTTGGTGAGGATGGACCTCTGAAAGTGAGAGGTCTGTTAAAGAAATCCTAATGGTTTGAGGATGTGACTAGCTTGGACAACTAATTTTCCATGTGCGGTATTTAGGACTGAATCATAGGCCTTGTGCAACGGCATTCTTTGATGTAAACCCTGCGTTATCTTGAGTGGACGAATATGTCTCTAGTCTGTAGTATAGTTCGAGAGTTCAGTCCAGGTGCCACAGAGAATGCCAATTCGATAACAAGAGGGGCATGCCAGACAATGTTCCGATACAACAGACAACTGATAAAGAGATTAAGGTTTCCATCAAGACAGACAGCACTCGTTGTACTACCGTAACACTATCTGAGGTGGTCCGAGGTCAGGTCTGGATAAGGCTAAAAGCGACATCAGTCATTCTTTTGGGCTCTTTTCGTGTTACCAGGTGGGTCACCAAACAGCAAGATGGAGGATGAATGAATCTTCGAGGATGCGCTTCACAGTCGCGCTCCAAATTCTTGTTCAGTGACACCTTCCATTGTCTTCTCCGGGAGTTTGATCTAAATTCGGGTAGCGTGGGTAGCCAAAATACATGGGAGTCTATTCGTTCCGATCATCTTCATCTCTAGTCTGTGACCTCGAAATCTCGAGTTCATTCATACCATAGTTCACCATGTCCGGGGCGAGATGGCTCAAGTGGTTAGAGCGTGAATGTACAAACCCGAAGGCCTGTAGTTCAAACCCGACCTCTGCCTCTAGCTTCCCAGCCCTCGTGCTTCCTTCGGGTGGCATGGCAGCTAGGTACCGGAAGGGTGTTACAGCTGAACGATGACCACGTCCGGGTTCGTATCCTTGTTTCCAGAGAAAATAGGTGCATCAGACTGCACGTATGCTAATAAATGAGTAAACACAGCAAAAATATCGTTGTTGTCATTAGTCATTGCATACTCATGTCGCCAACCGTGTGCTAGATATCCAGTATCATTATAGCAATCCGAACGAACGCTGGACACTGAGATGTCCCTTATTCTAGCAGGTACTGACTGGAAGCATGTCCACAAAATTCTCATAGGCGCAGAGGACTCAGAGCGGGCATACTTAGTAGACTGAGGTGCTCCTCCGAACAAAGTATTTCCAAAAGACCTTCAAAGTGGTTTGGGATCCCTGAAGAAATAGTCATTTGTCGGTGAAATCCCGCACTTTTGAGCGAAAACGTTTGTGGACTGCCACTTAGACTAACCGGATTCGAGTTGAATGGCTGCCATAAACTTCGAAGGAATCACGAGGACTAAGATATTTCCAGACAAACCAAGCCTAGAGAAGAGCAGCGGGAAGCCAGAGTTGGGTTAGAACCACGAACATTCCGATCAGTGGTTTAACCATAGATGGACCTCAATAAGAAAACCATCATCAACAAATGATTTGACCCGAAGGTCGCAGACTTTAAAATGGACGGTAATGATGGCTTCAGAGGCTTCATTCAGGTGTTGCTGGTCACCAGTCGCATTCGGCCTGCTCGTCATCTGCCGAAATGCACATGTGGGAGGCGACGGGTAGCCCAGATGATCTGTGTATGGATGGGTTTGGTGGTCGTTGACTTGTACGCTGAGCTGGGCAATTTGATTGCAAACGTTTCATCACCAATCGAGGTGACATCATCAGTGCGTTATTGGGGGGGGGGTAGTAGTGCGACGCTACCTGAGCTACCGACATTTTCCTCTATGGATGGGTTTCACTGTCACTAGCTCCAAAGGGAACGCAGAGTCCATGTCTATCCCCGCTGCATTTCGTTTTGGAGCCTTCAGCTAAGGACTTCGGTTAAGGATCTCCAGAACAGGCTCTTAATGCGACCTGAGCAGACTAGTATCTGCTGACGGGAAAACAGTCATTAGTATCTCGACTTCCTTATGCGTACGACGTTTCGTATCCTTGTTTCCAGAGAAAATAGGTGCATCAGACTGCACGTATGCTAATAAATGAGTAAACACAGCAAAAATATCGTTGTTGTCATTAGTCATTGCATACTCATGTCGCCAACCGTGTGCTAGATATCCAGTATCATTATAGCAATCCGAACGAACGCTGGACACTGAGATGTCCCTTATTCTAGCAGGTACTGACTGGAAGCATGTCCACAAAATTCTCATAGGCGCAGAGGACTCAGAGCGGGCATACTTAGTAGACTGAGGTGCTCCTCCGAACAAAGTATTTCCAAAAGACCTTCAAAGTGGTTTGGGATCCCTGAAGAAATAGTCATTTGTCGGTGAAATCCCGCACTTTTGAGCGAAAACGTTTGTGGACTGCCACTTAGACTAACCGGATTCGAGTTGAATGGCTGCCATAAACTTCGAAGGAATCACGAGGACTAAGATATTTCCAGACAAACCAAGCCTAGAGAAGAGCAGCGGGAAGCCAGAGTTGGGTTAGAACCACGAACATTCCGATCAGTGGTTTAACCATAGATGGACCTCAATAAGAAAACCATCATCAACAAATGATTTGACCCGAAGGTCGCAGACTTTAAAATGGACGGTAATGATGGCTTCAGAGGCTTCATTCAGGTGTTGCTGGTCACCAGTCGCATTCGGCCTGCTCGTCATCTGCCGAAATGCACATGTGGGAGGCGACGGGTAGCCCAGATGATCTGTGTATGGATGGGTTTGGTGGTCGTTGACTTGTACGCTGAGCTGGGCAATTTGATTGCAAACGTTTCATCACCAATCGAGGTGACATCATCAGTGCGTTATTGGGGGGGGGGTAGTAGTGCGACGCTACCTGAGCTACCGACATTTTCCTCTATGGATGGGTTTCACTGTCACTAGCTCCAAAGGGAACGCAGAGTCCATGTCTATCCCCGCTGCATTTCGTTTTGGAGCCTTCAGCTAAGGACTTCGGTTAAGGATCTCCAGAACAGGCTCTTACTGCGACCTGAGCAGACTAGTATCTGCTGACGGGAAAACAGTCATTAGTATCTCGACTTCCTTATGCGTACGACGTAAACGGAACGTTAAGCCGAATTCCACACGGATACCGTTTAATAGCTCACAGTTAGGCGCTGCTACGGCCGAGAAGCCTATTCCGAGCACGATTGGCCACAAGTTCGGGATGCTTCCCGGTCCGGCACCAAGCCGAGATCTGATTGGTCGAAACGCTGGAATCAATAGTCAATCACGACACAGTATTGGCCGAATGCAGTTTGTCAGTGGCTCATCTGAAGGTCGTCAGAATTTCCGAGTTGTCGCCGCTTACACTATACGTACGACGCTCTATTCAAGTGTTCTTGACTCCGTTTTGGGCGTTAATATACATTGCGCACTTTTGATGGCTGTTTTGATGGCAACGCTAGCTTGGTAGGTCAGACTAATAACCAAGTTGAGGAAAATACCGTTATTACACAGGACCAAGTTCCGTTCGCCTGGCACAAGAATCCAACCCTATCAACACACTGCACAGAGGAATTTCAGTACGCGTACAACCGGAAAAATTGGATGAGCCAGTTTTGGTTTGTACTCCACATTCCACCATCGATTATAACCGAGAATCGTTTACCTCCTATTGGGTCTGCAGGTTCGGGTCGGGGCCATAACAAAGTCGCGTCGGATGTGCCACAATCGTTGTTGAGTTTTGTTGGCCACCTGGTCACTTTGTTACACTGAAAGCATGGGTTTAAGGCCCGACTGATATCGGAGTCCACAATGGTTAATAGCGTTACCCCGAGCAAGGATCTTTTCCCGGCTTGATATGACATTCATCATGAATTCGCCCTTAGCACGAATTATTATGGCTTCTTTGAAATAACTGCCTGACCTAAAGTTGAAGCTTATTTGAACATAATGTCGCCCGGCGAATGATCAGACGCCCAGTGAAAGGGACCGTGCGAGCCCACCGTCGAGTCTTGCTGACTAGAGACGCCCCGAAGGCCGTGAATGCCCGAAGATTATCTCAGTCGACCAGTCATCGCGGACTGCCTGGAGGAAAACCATCGGTGATCAGAACGGGGCAAATATCTTGAACAAATAAAAAAGCATCGACCTTTGAGCCAAACAATTTGAACAACAATCATCAAAACAAGTGTCTGTCACCCATCTTGTGCCGACATAAGGCCTAGTGCCCTGGATGGTAACGTGTGACCTACTACGGCCCCGCAGGCTTATGATCGTGTACCAAGCGATACCAAGCTCCTGGTTCGGATGAACTTCCACCCGCATTTTTCAAAGACGACGGTGAAGTCCACAATCAGCGTTTGTCCGACTTGTTTCCATGCGCTTTGGAAAACGAAACTGTGCCAGGCAACTGGA